TCCTCAATATTTTCAGATTCAGCAAAAGGAAAACAGTATGTGGTGGATGTTCCGTCATTTAAGATTCGTCATTTTCGCATTTGCCATGGAGTTTGTCACAGCTAATTATCAATGTAGGACCGAAGTAAGTATACAAGGTATGGCTCTCAAGCGTTCTGTTTTCAAAAGGTGGTCAGTGGCGGCTCCTCATCTTTGTGATGTCAAATGTGGAAAAGAGATTACATGCCAAAGCTATAACTACAATAGAAAATACCAAATATGTGAACTAAATAACCGCACCAAAGAGGCGAGACCAGAGAATTTCCTTTCAGCACCTGCGTGGTTTTACATCCGGCGATTGAACGGCAGAGGTGAGAAATCAAAGCTATTTCAATCTGTGTGCTTTCTATTTCTATAAATCTTCTCCGTCCTGGAAGAACTAAGAATAGGAAGTAAACGTAAAATATATCTTTACTTCAGCTTCAGGCTCTATCCCTGGATTACCGGCGCTGTCTTGTCACGAAATAAAGGCAAGTGAAGGTAAACACATCATAAGCGGCAAGTATTGGCTTGATCCAACTTGTAAAGGAAAGGCAAAACTGATTCACTGTGATATGGTTTACGAAGGTAGGTCCTATAAGTTTGCATGAGTAATTTTAATTTGTTACGAGTTATCAGTAACATGAAATTATTATAAATTATACTATTATTGATATGATTATCTTAATATTTGGTTTGGATCCGTTCCAGCGTGGATGTCTCTCTCAAGTTGCTCTAACTTAGCTAATGCTTCTCTTTCCACATTCTAGATATGGATGAATGTAAATATAACATCAGTAACTGCGATGTGAAAGCAAACTGTACCAACACGTACGGTTCTTACAAATGCATATGTAAAGTGGGATACACCGGCGATGGACACTCATGTTCAGGTAATTTTGAAGATAGCCTTATTAATATTTCCCAATAAAACCAATTTTTGTATATGTTCTCACGATTTTAAGTAGCGTTACCCATGCATGTTTAGGCACAGAGTAACCATGGTTTACACCTGGCTTGTTTCAGAGCAGTCAGGTTGATAAATTAAACTATTTGTGCTGAAATATATTTTCGCAATATCTAATTTATGAAGCCCTAAAAGAGAAACATTTGTTTTAAAATTTATGATGATCAAAGGAATTAACCTTGATGCATTTCTTTTGAAACCATTTCCATTAGAAATAAAATCACTATCATATTTGCGAGACTTGTTTTCCCAGCATGTATTGACCCTCTCACTCCTAAGATGTCATTAGTAATTCTGTTTACAGTTTACCATACAATTCTTACGATGTTAGTTCTAAGAATTTGGTATTGAATCAACTGATAATCCTCGAGCTGATATTTTTTCTTACTCTCGTCATTTGTCTGTTTGATATTGTAATGATTTGGTAAGGAGAAATTCTTTCTTGGTCATTAAAGGGAGTTAGGTGGTTAAGTAAACATTCAGTGTAAGGTAAAAAATCTCCACTGGTAAAGGGAGACTTGATAGACAGGCTTACAGGACAGAACAACAGATTTGAACTTGGGGGAACCGAGGAAAAAATTTGGTGAGTAGTTGTGTGAAGCACTTGCGTCTGGAACCACAAGACAACAAGACTAAGGTTTCTTACGTTATACTCGGCAACTTTTTTTTAATTACAGTTCGTTTCTTTAGTTATGTTAATGATTTTACAGATATCAACGAGTGCAAAGGAAACCACTCTTGTCACGTGAATGCTACATGCATGAACACCCTTGGATCACATGCATGTCAATGTCATGCTGGATATACTGGAAATGGACAAAACTGCTCAGGTGAATTTAATTTCTTCGCTACAATATTTTTAATAGTCCTGTTTGCCTTCCAGCTACAGCGCCGCACCATTTAGCCGCGTTGCAAGACAATTAGGTAATTTATTACTCATTACTGGTTTTGATTTTTGCAGCCATTCCTCATGTTAAGAACCTCTTAGGTAATGTCCCTGACTTTTAAATGAACAATTTTGGTGACTGATGCGTTGTTCTGCTTTAAAATTAACCTTATCACAATGAATGACAGAAGCATGAAAATAAAATCGCTCGTTTGGCTCTGAACGCTGTGCACAGGATGGATATGTAAATGATTTTCCAAGGCGCTACGTTTTCGTTGACGCTCAAGATATATTTGAGTGAAAAAGTTGAAAACTATTATCATCAAGTTTTATAAAATAGTCAAGATACTACGAGCACCCTGATTGGTCAAAAAACAATCGTTGATTGCACCGGTAAACCTGTGGAAATTGAAGTTTATATATGTTATTTAAGTAACAGACCGCACTTTCGATCGGTTTACCAGCGTAGAAAACATCTTCAGTTGTTGGGAAACCATTCGAAAAAAAAGTAGATCAATCGTCTCCAGCTCGTTCTCACAAAATCCAGCGTGGATTATATCGCCAGTAAACTGAGAGAAAGAGCGATAAATAAAGGTTCTACAAGAACTGCGGCGCTGCGTCGATGGTACGTTTTGTGGGAGCAGCAGGAACAAGTCAGTTGTTTCAGAGCCGATAGCTTGATAAACTGAAATATTCGTGATAAAATATACGTTTCAAATATCTAATTCGTAGAACGCAAAAAAGAGAAAAACTGTTTTATTATGTATGATTATCAAAGTAATCACTCGACTGAGAGTCCGCTCGTTTTTAAAGTGACAAACATAATGAAGTGCAAATATATATGTGGTTTCTCAGATATTGACGAATGTAAAGGAAATCACTCTTGTCACGTGAATGCTACCTGCACGAACACCAACGGATCCTATCTTTGTGAATGCCACCCTGGATTTAATGGAAATGGTCAAAGCTGCACAGGTGAATTTAATCTCTTTGTAATAATATTAAGAATATTCCTGCTCGAATATAACCTGAAGCTACTGAGGTGGCCATATTATTAGTTTGTCATATATAAACGATACTGGTTGTGCCCTAAGTCTGCCTAGGGCTGTCCTTTAATGCATTGTCTGAAAAAGAAGGAGTTCAAATTCGGATCCTGCTGAGTTCATCTGGATCTTCAATATCACTGTTTTAGCCTCAAAGCCTTAAAGTAGTTAAAGACATGCCGAATTACAATATTTAATTCTTCTTCGCCTAAAAACACTGTAGGTACATTTAAGGTATCTTCAATCGAGTAGGTGAATAACAGACTAGTAATACCTTGCACGCTATACCTGTGGATCCATATCATTAAATAAAGCAATTTCAGCAGGAACTATTGTTCTACTAGTGCTAAGTTTTATTTTTTAAGCAGCATTACCCATACATGTTTATGCTCGGAGTTGCCATGATCTACATCCGGTTTGTTTCAGAGCCATCATATTCGGAGATGTAAAAAAAACATTGGAGAAGAGAATATAATATCTAGGTTGCACGTTTCAAAAATCTAGTTCGTTAAAGACAAAAAAGAGAAAGTTTTTTTCTTATTATTTGTAATGGTCAAAGTAATTACAAATCGTTAGGTGACAAAATTAAAGTGCAAAATGCATTTACGGTTTCTCAGATATTGACGAGTGTAAAGGAAATCATTCCTGTCACGTGAATGCTACATGCATGAACACCCTTGGATCACACGTGTTTCAATGTCATGCTGGATATACTGGAAATGGACAAAACTGTACAGGTGAATCTAATTTCTTTGCTACAATATTTTAAGATACGTTCGGCTACAGCGCCTAACCATTCAGCCGCTCGCGTTGCAAGAAAATTCGATAATTGATCACTCATAGCTCGTTTTAATTCAAGCAGCCATTTCTCATGTTAAGGACCTCTTAAATAAAGTTCCTGACTTTTGAATAAACAATTATGGTTACTGATGCATTGATATTCTGCTTTTAAATTAACTATATGTCAATAATTGACAAAAGCATGAGAATGAAATCGCTCGTTTGGCTTTGTGTACAGGATTGAGATGTAAGTGATTTTACATGGCGCTTCGTTTTCGTCGACGCTTAAGATATATTTTAGAGGAGAAGTTTAAATTTTGTTATCATCAAGTTTTATTAAAATAGTCAAGACACTAAAACCTATTGTTGATTGCACCGGTAACCCACGGAAAATTGAAGTTTATGTTGTTTTTCTCTCAGACGTTGACGAATGCAGCAAGGCGCATGCCGTCAAAATGAACGGATGCCATCCAAATGCATCTTGCACTAATACCCAGGGCTCATAAAACTGTTCTTGCAACTTAAGTATGTTGGAGATGGTTTTGCATGTAAAGGATAGTTTGGTTTTTCATGAAGGCGATGAAATTTATATTTTGTTTCCCACGTTAAACGTAGCAGTAAATTGGCTTAGAGCTGACTTTCATCCGAAATTCACATCGAGGAGGCATAATTTTACGCTCCCTTGTGCACAAAAACGAAACAACTTTTGATTATACATGACTATAAATAGTCATACGAATAAAGAGGCGATCCTCGCAGTTATGAATACCACTGAACTAGTTGTGAAATTAAGGCCTGAAAAAATTCAGGTCCGTACAGGATTTCAACCCACGACCTTTACGATAAGGGTGCAACGCTCTACCAACTGAGCTAACAGGCTAACTGGGAGCTGTTGGTTACAAATAAACCATCTAACTGGAGAATACATGAATGTAAACATATGAAAATCATATATATGGGCTGTTACTGCTAGTTTGATAGTATTCAAAACTGCGAGGATCGCTCCAATATTTGTAACTTTTGATTATGTTTTTAAAACTTTACATGAACTTTTACATGATGCAGAAATGATACTCCGTGGAACTAAAAAACCGTTAAGAATCTCTGACCTTAAAAGATTCCCCTATAATAACAGTTATGATCAATCAAACTCATTTGACTTTTGCAAGCCAATTTGCGTTATCATTATAAATTAATTGGATGATGCTAATAGGCAGAGAGTTATTACACAGTCTTGTGTTATTACCAAATACCTCTGAGCTGGTATCGTTGTGTGGGAGGTGAGGATCAAAAATGTCTTAAACGCATGTCGTATCATCCAGTTGAGGTACAAACAACTACAGCCTTTGATGGCGATTGAAGTAAGAGGAAAAATAACTCTTTACAATGCTATCATTTCATTTTAGTTCTTTTGTGCATCATCATTGCCCAACGCAAAATCCTCTTTAAAATTTATTTAATGCATATTTGTTCTTGTAACACACAAGTCCTATCTGGTTGTTATCTAACTGATTGACTTGAAAAATGTCAACAACAAAAATAATGTTATCATTGGTACTGCAACATTTTTTAATGTCTATTTATTTCAATAGCCGACCCATGTTATTATCATCAAAACCTGAGTGAGCCGATAGAAAGAGCAATTACGCTACACCGGGATTTGACATGTACTACTTAGCCCCTTAATTAATGTAAAGTCACTTGTCTTCTTAAGTACAAGTTTCACCACTGATTGACAAGCTGCTAGAATTATAAGACGTTAGAAAAGATCTTGAACCATTGATGTTAATAACCTAAGTCCTGTTGCAATTATTTCACTTTGTAGCCGATCCTTGCTATCATTATGAAAACCTGAGTGAAGCCAATGGAAAGATAGATTACTTTACACCTCCCGATTCAGAATTGTGTGACTACAAACTCCCTGAGGGATGGTATCGTTTCGTGGGAGCTGCAGGGACAAAAATGCCAACAACGCGTGTGCAAGCATTCAGTTGTGGTACAGACTGGCCAGGCTGGTTGGATGGTGCTCATCCTACAGTGGAAGATGGTGACGTTCTCCGGACGGTCTGCTTTAGTGATCGCCCTACTGGTTGCAAATACACAACAGAAATTTCTGTAAAAAACTGTGGATCCTACTTCATCTACAAACAGCAACAGGTACCTGGTTGTAACTCACGCTACTGTGGTACAGACTGAATATGAAGCAATTATACTTCGCGTAATTAGAGAACTCACAAATCGCTCCCTAGGTACATTTGTATAATGTTTTAACATGTTTTAACACATAATCAGCAGATTTTAACTTTGGTGGGAAACAGATATTTTTATCGTTAGAATGATAATTCTCATCAGATAGCCTCTGTCATCGAAGAGAGTTGCGCGAGGTATATTCATGGTAAATTAAAAATATGCAAGACGCAAACTTTCAAGCTTAGGGTTTTCGAGTCTTTTATTTATTTTGTTCGGTTTTTTTTTTTCGCTTTTTCATCCCTCTATTGCTGTGATTACTTACCATGGTTTGTTTTAGCATAAATCACTGGAATACAAGCCGGTGCTATCTTAGTTATTGGCGTAGAAAAGAAAAACGTGACGTAGGTCAAAATCTGATGTCTTACGAAATTACGCAAAGTTAACCTAATAATTATGACTCAGTATTTTGAAACGTTGAACCAATTTCCAGACACAGAGTAAGCAAGATTCACTGGATTAGCCTGTTGTAACCGTGTGTCAAGTGCGTCTAATCGACCAGGAGTCATTCGAAATGGGTCGCCTACATCTCAGACCGATTTTAAATCTGAGTTCAAGATCTCTATACAATGGCTTCAAAGTGTCCCTGTACAGCTTATTTAACTAAGCTCACGGGCACTTCATTCATTCAAGACAAACTTTGTTAAAATAATTCTCGAAGCAATTTGTATAGGTAATCACGCGTTTCGAGTGCAATTTGGGATAAATCAGAACGAGAAATTTTCAAAGACTAACAAATTGCGTGAACCTGTAAGGCGAGTGCAACTTGCATGTCAGTGTATTATAAGTTTAAAAACTGCATGTAGCTTTTAAAAGTTGTTGACCTGTTTTCTAAGGTTAATGTTTGCCTTCAACATAAACACGCAAAAAGAAAACTATCAGAGCTGCGATGTGCTTAAAACAAATATCTATAGCAGCAAAGATAAACACAAGTTGTAAACAACTTTTTTACACTATTCAAGTACATCACCAACAATTTTTCACAGGAATGTCAGATTTGAAATAAAAATCTCAGTTTCTCATTGCGAAATTTTCCTTTTTTTATCCAAAAAAATATGCAAAGAATCCTATGAAAAAAAATAAGCACAGAAAAGAAATCCACCCCCACACCTCCAAAGGCCACTGTCAGGTATTTCAAAATTATAAGACTAGTCTTCCAATCATTTGATGTTCATTTGTCTCTGATTTACAAGAAGAGACCTGAACAGAAAGCAAATGTGGCAAAGTAGGGTGAGTTTATTGACAACGTATCAAAATATAGACAAATCGTTGGTGGTCTTCTTAGGGTTAAGTGATGTAAGCTGGTTCACTTTGTGGCTCAGCCTTTTGAGTGGTGTAAATAGAAGAACATCGTGTATGTAGTCTCATTATTTAACAAACACTTTGTATCTCTTTGTAAATACATTTACCTTACACGGACTATTTTTAGCTGAGTTTCATAACACGAACATGAGAGTAAATTTTAAGGTCAGTGTAGTCCAAGGGCCAGAGTAGGTTCTCGATGCCACTCATCTGATGAAGGTTATGTAAAAGAATCTTCAAATTCATTTGAAAGCAATCGCGAAAGAGTAGCTTTCCCCCCTTTTTATTAGTGGACTTAACATCAATAACCGGGTACAAATAACAACAACAAGGAAATGTTAGGGCAAATGCATGAAACCAGAACCCAGTGAGGCAAAAACAAAGCAATCAATCAAAACTGGTTTTAACTTTACATCACAACGATTCAGTAATAAATGGAAAAAAAAACTTATTGTAAAAGATCGTAACGTAACGCACAGCAAGAGTAAGACAGTTTTCTTTGGAACTGTCACAATTAACTTAATATTGAACATTTTCCTTGATTAAATTGCAGGTAATTTTCCCACAAGTAATGTTGGAATTCAATTGTCAATTATTATTAAGTAAACAGTAATAAAAAAAACTTGCAGAAAGGCATTTCTCGTAGTTTCTGCCTTTTTTAGTGCTAAGGGATTTACATAAATTTGCTACCCACGGGAGGGGGGGGGGGTAGGGGTAGGGGGATAAGTTCTTAAAAGAGCGAAGGGATAAATCATTGTTATCTTTAAGAGCTAAGAATAGTGATGGATACCTCTTACATTGTGGTATATAAAATGCTCTGAGAAAAATTCATATTCACATTTCGCTAGTGAATGAAATTACTGACAAAAAGTGTAAACGCACTGGGCAGTTAATTTCGCACGGTTAACATACGTTTTCCATATTTGGAAACAGTCGGAACTGTTGCTGAATAAAGCTTGGTAATAAAACTACGAGTGGTAATTTTGCCCATGGTCTCCCATTGCTGGATTGTATTATTTATCCTGTCGATGTCATCTGTTCGGCAGAAGGAAGTGAATAGCGTTTTCGTACACCACGAATGTGAGTGCACATGCTGGCATTACTCTAAAAATAAAAAAAAAATCAAAGAAACGAAAATGCAGTAAAACCAACAATGAACGTGTTCACAAAAATTACTGTTTCTAGATATCTTCTACAGCGCTCTTTAGCTAGATTTCCGAAATTCGGAAAGAAAATAGAAAACCGCAAAAATTTACACTAACACATCAGATGGAGCACAAAAACTTGTGATAAGGATAAGTATCTTAATTATCTGCAGTATTCGAACATATAACTGACGAAAACAATGATATGACACCTATTATATAAAACTAACTCCTAATTTCATAGCCTCTGGATGTTTCTATCGCCTCTCTCTTCTTCCCAGTTTCTCACAGACCAGAATGTACAAATAAGTTCAAGCACCTTATAGGGGTACCCCATCTCTTAAGACCCTTTTCTTTACAAACCGCCCTCTTAAAATAAAGATGGGAGCCCACTAAGCCCCCTTGGCCTATTCTTAAATACACACAGTGGTTTAACAAATAAAACTGATCACCCAATCTTCTTGTATCATCAATTTCATACTTAACATTCTGCCTTACCTGAGGACACTGGGAATTAATCCTTCGTAAAATCCTCTTACTCCTTCTTGCTTAAGATTTTGAAAAGAACCCACTGTGAGAGGAAACCAGAAAAAGAAGAAATACCTATTTCATGAAAATGTGGAGTTGATCACCAAGCCGTAAATGAAAGTCAATCCAAAAACTGGATCTTGTCCTCGAACAAGGTGGACTCAGTTCTCCGCCAATTTCGGTCCAGTTCTCTGTCAATTTGTTTCAAACAGGCAATACATGTACCTCCATTTAATGTAGATGGATTTGAAACTAGAAATGAAAAGCTAGTCTACAACGTATTTAAAAAAAATTAAGTTCTCATACCAAGCTCCAACTGACCTTTGCTAATCACATCCAACGTTCCTTTGTATTCCACCATCGTGTACTGATTCTTTAGAAAAGTAAAACTCATGAACAAAAAATAACAGAAGGAAACAGTTAAAAAAAACATTCACCAAGAACAAAAAATCACGAAGAGAAAGCCCCAGATATATTCACTTGGTTTTGGATAAATTTATGGGCAAAGAATCAAAATTCGCGTTCCCATAGCCTTCTTAGATCCGTATTTCTTGAGAGGAATGGAAAGAGTAAAAGAGGGTAAAAGCTACTCTCCCTCCGTGAGATTTGATATTCATCCATATTGACAGGTTTCCCTAGACTTTTGTTGGTGCCTATTTGAACTCCTGGGAAGGGGAATATGTGGAGCTAACGAGTCTTTTCACCAAGGAACCGACACAATGACCCGGCTGAGGCTCGAGGCTTAGGTACAGGCCACATCAACTCGGAGTCCAGCTAACCAATCGATGCATCACTAGCCTGAAAACTGAAAAAAGCCTAAAGACTACAAGTATATTTCAAGACAATAGCATATAAAAGTAAAACGAAATCCATTTCAAAATTACAGGTTAATAATTTGCTAATGAATCCCCTATCCTGACCTGAAGTCTTGATCTAACCACTTGATAAGGAAGCCATTGAAGCCAGTGAAGCCATTACAAGATATTCAGTTGAACTCTATGAAGAAAAAGAAATTTAGCAAAACATAAATGAAAGAGCAAACAATTATAAAAAATAACTGAATCCCAAGATGACTAGTAATAACAACTAGTAATAAAGATTGTCGTTCGGGCGTCAGCTGTGGTTTCAAAATGTTGAAGCTCGTCATAGAGGATGACTACCCAAGATAAGATGCCACAAACTTTCCTTACTCTTCCCTCTTTCGTGTTCTCCCTTTACATGAGCCAATGGTCATTACATGTATTCGTATTAAGCCTGTTCTCTGTGTATTTCCAAAGGTGCTGACAAGAAAAATTTCTTTAACAATCAAGAGCATCTTTTCTTGCTGATTATTTCCTCTATTCTCATGACCTCCATGAGTGATTCTGAGGTGATATTGTAAGGAGAAGTTAGATGCTAGTCAATATTAGGGGGGGAGGGTTGATTCTTATTAATCCTTCTGGGTGGAGAGGGGAGTTGAGAGTAAAGTTTTTTTCCAACAAATTACAACACTTCAATCATCCAGCCTGAACTATGAATGTAATCAGAGTCAAAGCACTTTACATGTTCTTGTTTGTCCAGGTTTAAGATCAAGAGTTTCTGGTTTGCTAACTCAATTGAATTTGTGAGCTTTAAGACGCATATATTAAACATATACAGACGCGCGCAGACAGTATTCACCAGCTTCTTGTTGATTGGTGATCCAAAATATTGACTGTAGCCTTTCTTCTGCTCCTTATAAGCCATGAATTGCAGTGCTCCATGTGATACGCCAAAACGTAACCCTAATCAAAATGATATGAGCAAACTTCATGTTCCATCCAAACAGTAAAACTCAGGTTAATTCCTTTCATTTAAATTAGAGATTCCTGTCTGCTTGGCAATACATAAAAATGGTAAGGAGAATTTATACCATGATCGATCTTGGGAAATAAAGAATTAAGTGAACTATACATCTTGAGATGGGAACCCATGGCTGCTAATCTGATTGCTTTG